GTATGCCTGCTAGACAAGCACTCTACCAACTGAATCACATCCCCAGCCCTTAGGTGGATTTTGTAAACATCTGGGTTAGCCCTGCACATCTGTGCCTTCCATCACCTTCTGATTCACAAGAGGACACCAGCGAGCACAGCGGAATGACAAGGTCCATCCTTGTAGGAGACAGAGTCATGGACTTCTTCCCATTTATGGTCCAAAGAACGCCCTTTTCCCCTCATGCTGCCATCCATTCTCACTGTCTAGGTTATAGCTGGCTTAGCAGCAGCCACCTAATATGTTTAGCTGGTCAGGAGGACATTAGTCTGAGTATCTGGGAATGAAATGCTACCTTTGGCTCTTGAACATTCATAGCATGTATTTTCCTACCCCTGCCTCAGAAAGAACAAGTGGGAGTGCATGGAGCCCTCGAGCGCCCTCCTTTCATCATCATGGGAGTTCACCACTCATTCAGTAAATGCCTGCTTTACATCAGGGTCAGGCCTGGGCTCCACTCTGATGGGCACTAACTCTAATTCTCATGCCAACCCTGAAGTTCAGAGATATTAAGTCACTGACTCGAGGTCCTACGATTGGTGCTGGTGCTGATTCAGAGTAGGTCTCTCTAACTCCAGAGACCATGATTCTGACCCACTCACAGTACTTTAAAACCCAAAGTGGCCTTTGGATGATCTAAGAAAGACAAGGCAACTGGACCAAGCTCTCAGTGGCCTTGTGTGATGGTTACTTTTTAACTGTTAGCTCAACACAACTTAGAATCACCTGGGAAGAGAGTCTTACTTGAGAAATTGGTTATATCAGATTGGTCTGTGGGCATGTCTGTGAGGGATTATCTTGATCGTTAATTGATATGGGAAACCTAGCCCACTGTGGGTGGCATCATTCCCTAGGCGCGGGGGGGGGGGTCCTAAAGTATAAGAGAGGGGAAAGCCAGCCAGCCAGCTAGCAGGTCTGCATGTATTTATTTCTTGATGCCTTTGACTGTAGACATGGTGTGACCAGCTGCGTCCAACTCCTACCACTGTGATTTCTCTTTTATAATGGACTGTAACCTAGAATTGTGAGCCAAATAAACCCTTTCCTTCCTAAGTTGCTTCTTGTCTGGATATTTATCACAGTCAGAGAAATGAAACTGGGACACCTTGCCTGGCTTGTATCAAGCTTTTTTTCCTTGATGCCCCTGGCGATGATTGTGTGAGGAAACTCCCTGCCTCTTCAAGGTCTAAGAAAGTCTTTGGATTCCTTTGGAGTTTTTTGCAGTAATCCACTCTCTAGGAACTCAGGTGCTTTCATTGATGAAAAGGATCTAATTCCCCCACCCCACCCCACCCCCGCCTCGGAGAAAAAAGAGAGCCTAGGCCAGGGGAGCACACGTACACCATCACTGCTGAGACATTCTGACCCCAGCCAGACTCCAGACACACAGGAGCAAAAGAGCCAACAGGAAGCTGCCTTTCTCTCTTCCTACAGACACGGTTGGGATAGCAGATGTCCTGGGTCCTCCTCTGGGTCCTCCCCCTGCCGCCTGCTCCCTACACATAGGGCTGTGGTTGGGAAGCCACCCAGCACGGGAAGTATTGGGTCCTGCTCAGTTTCCACTTTCTTGTCCCATCTTGGAAGATGCTGTCCCAGATCTTTGGACAATAAGCAGATTTGGAGAAAACTGCAAAGTTGGATCTTCTTTCTGAAATGATGTGCAGAGCTCCAAACATGGAATTGGAAAATATGGAAAGTCCAGGCCATGGCACAGCCAGCTGAAAGATGAGTCTTCTTTAGAAAAAAGCCCAGCCTAGCGAATGTGCCAGCTTGCAGACCAGAAAAGGGGTGAGCAGCGAGCGGCCTTCTGTTTTGACTGGTTTTGTGTCTTGGTTGCCATTCTCTCGTTTCATTTCTCATTTCATTTTCCTCCTGGCAGCAATTATCCAAAACAGTTGCTCCCTGCCCAGAGCAGTGCACCATGTAGAAGAGAAGGGTGTGTGGATGTGTGTGGAGCAGGTTCTCTTTTTTATTGGACAGACAAATTTTTAAATTTTTTAATTATTTATTTAATAACTACATAATTAGAAGAAGCATTTCATTATAATAGCATTGACATATTCAACAACAATTTCCAGAGCTAAGATACCTCTCTTTCAAAGTTGGCTGTAAATTTTTAGGTTTACAGTTGAATTATTACAGTTATACAATATTGTACTCAGTATAAACCCTATAAGACATAAATTAAATGATGTTTTAACCTTTAAAAAGATCTCCATTTCATTATTAAAATATACTGTTTCATACAGAAAAACTCATTTTTAATGCAATTAACACTTAGATGTTTGCACATGCATCTCTAATCTTTATATATTGGATTATTACTAGTCATAGTCAGTTACTTTCTGAGCTCCTTGGCACCTGAGCATGGATATAAAGTCATCAGGTAGATTTCAGTGGTAACGTTTTTCACATTTACTAATTAACATGAAACAAATTTTTATGTTTCTTCCTCAAATATAACTCAATTTTTAATTTACTGTTTTTGTGTGTATTTCATACAGAACATCCCAAACAATCTTCTTCATCTATAAGTGATACCCTCCCATCCCCTCCCCACTGGAGCCCATATACTCTGTCATCCCTGTTACTGTCCACTGTGTTGTCAGTGCCCCCAGCCATTCTCCAGTGCTGATCCATCTGCTGAGTCTAGTCAGCCTATCTATAGTTCTTTGTTTTAGGAAAATCAGCTCTTCCTCATCTAGCAGGAAGCTGTTGCCAATATTCCTTTAGATAAGACTGGGGTCTGCTGTTCATTTTCCCAGTTCTATGCTGAGTTACTGTCTGGGAGTCTCTTGGGCCACCCTGGCCAACAATTCAAAGGAAGGTATCTCCCATCTGGCATTGTTTCTTGCTATGTAGCCTTTAGCTATACACATGGACTTTTAAAGAATTATATTGATCCCTTTAATCTTTGGTTATACTTTCCTTTTGGGTGTTTAAGACCATGCAGTTGGCTCAGATCAACCAATTTATTTTCACTCTTAGGTTGTTTGAGGATCTGTTCCTCAGGGGTCACATGGGTTAGGAAGAGTCCCTGGCTCCTTTATTTTACCAGTTCCATCTATGTGAAGATAAGTCAAAGGTCCTGCTCAACCATAATTGGCTTCACTTGGAAGTACGGAGGAAATGTTTCCTCTGAGTTGACCCTCCTCTTTGTAGACTGGACACTGGTTCAAGTCCATCTGGTGGGGTCTCCATGGCCTCCTTGATCAAAAGAACAGGTGACTCACCACAGTTACAGGACATTTTGAGAGATGCTCCATAGTCCCCTGGAACTTAGTCGACCTTGGAGGGCAAGGAGCAAAAACTGTCCTTTATGTCCCTCTGACCAAATTAGTATAGGCCTCAAAATATCGCTGTTAAACATCCAAGAAGGTAGGTCCACCAGTCTGGTACTTTTAGTTACCATCTGTTATGTAGATAAAGCTTGGGCAAAGACCAAAGGTTCTCAGATAAACCTTGACTAGACATATATTATGTTCCTTGAACTAGTTATATGTATAATTTGTCAGTAGGTTGTTGGACTAATATGGTTCCCTCTGTTTTTTTTTTTTTTTAAAAACTAGCTAAGCATTATTTATCTCTCCCATTGTCTAACCCTTCCACCATGTTTCTCCATTTAAAGTGCCCCCATTTTTCCCATTTCTCCCTTAATAGTACATTTCTCCTATGGTCCCATGTCTCTTGAGCTCCTTCTTTCCCTTTATCCCCAAAGTTCCTTGTATAACCCCCCTTAAAATAACCCCATTTTTATCCATATCTCCCTTATTAACACCTTTTCCTACTGTTCTTCTCTTTCAGACTCTTTCTTTTCCTTTACCTCCCTGGTTCCTTTTCATTATCCTGGTTCCTATGGTTATGTCTGGATACACACTCACAAGGATTTGGTGCTAGGATCCACATATGAGGGAGAACATGTTATTTGTTTTTCTGAGTCTGTGTTACTTCCCTTAGTATAACAGTTTCTAGTTCCATCCATTTACCTGAAAATTTCATGATTTCCTCTTTCTTTACTGCTAAGTAAAACTACATTGTACAAATGAACCACATTTTCATTATCCACTCATCAGTTGAGAGACACTTAGGTTGCTTCCATCTCTTAGCTATTGTGAAAAGAGCAGCAACAAACATAGATGCACATGTGTCTCTGCAATAGGATGAGTTCTTTGGGTATATGCCAAGGAGTGGTATAACTGGGTTATATGGTAGGTTCACTTTTAATTTTTTAAGAGTTTTCCACACTGTTTTCCATAGAGGCTACATGAGTTTGCAATTCCACCAACAGTGAATGAGCGTTCCCTTTCTCCACATCCTCGCCAGCATTTGGAATCATTTGTTCTCTTGATCCTAGCCAGTCTGATTGGGGTAAGG